GCACTCTCACTTCAAACTTGAGTATTTTACCAGGTTACTCTAAATGACTCTATGAATATTAGCTCTGCTTCTGTTTTCCTTAAACAAACACCAGGTATAATCTGCTTCTGTTTTACATAAGCATAAACTAAGAGTGGTGAGGTAATGTAACATTACAGTTGAATGTTTGAAATGTTTTGTTTAGTTTTTTTTAGTTTTGGGTTTTTTTGTTTTGTTTTGTTTTTACATTGAACTGCACTTTCAGTATTAGATATTTTGTTCAGCACTGTAACACATGGAAGGGCGGGTTGCTACATTCTAAGATATAAAACATTCTAAGTATTCCATTCGTCTTATCAAATCTGAATACCTCATATAAAAAAGTCTTGCAAGTTCTGCAAAGAGCAGACAAGAAAAAACAGAGAAAACTGAGCTGAAGTGATCCACACAACCGAGAAAAATACACCAGCGACACAGGTATAACACAGATGTGATGACAAACATCACAGGGCGAGCATGTCAGGCACAAACACAGAGACATGCTCTCAACTGTCAAGATCTTCAGCTCACAACTCTTCACCAGCATTCCCAGAGTGGGATGACTTATTACCCCAAGTGGAGGAGTTTAAGTATTTTGTTGATGAGTGAGGGGAGAGGGTGATCTATGAACAGATTGGTGCTGTATCTGCAGTGATGTGGACACTGTACCAAAACATCGAGGTGAAAAGAGAGCTGGATTAGGTGGCTGGGGAGAGGCAAGCCTGCTCTTCTCTGCTTAGGCTGCTGGCCCCAGATAAACCAAAGATTATGACTCCAAACTTTCCTAACTACTTAAAAGTAATAATTTCACGCCTGGCAGAGACCAATGACATGACATGTTTCTATCTGTTTGTCGTGAAGTCCAGACCAGGCTTCAACTTTATGCTGTGTGGAGTGTCATGTCTTCCATGGCAAATGTTTTGGCAAGGTCTGCAAATGTTCGTTTTCTGTTTTCATTTCATTTTTATTATTGTAGGGTTTTAACCTTACAACCTTAACCTAAAGGGCTGTGAGGAAATTGTTGTTGGGATATATAAAAAAAAGATTTGTATTGAATTGACTTCTTGTCTTTAATAAAGTGGTACAGGTGAGACATGAAGAAGAAACACTGACCTAATGTTGCTGATAGGAGAAAGAATCTGAGAATCATACAATCAAACTGATCAGAACTGAGCGGCTTGAGCCACAGGGTTCATAAATAGTGTCAGTAGTCTAAATGGTTTCATGAAACCAGCTGAAATAAAGCTGATGAATAGAGAAAATCCCTTTGCCAGTTAGAATAAAAAGAAAGAAACTCTACAGCATCTTTTATGTCAGATATATTTGAGCTGACATAGAGACAGCAATATTCTTAATCTTATGTGCTGCATGAACAGCGTTTTTCAGGCTGAAATATGTAAACCACAATCAAACAGAAACATATTTATTTTAATCTATTTTTTTTATATCTGGTCCTTTTTTTATTTTATCAGGCATTTATTAAAGCAGTAATATAAAAATAACTGAAATACTTTAAACTGACTCCACACTTTACAGTACACAAGTCACCCAACGTAATGTAGAGGAATAAAAAAGGAGGACAGAGGGAAAAAATAAAGATGTGCAGCTAAATGCTTGTAAATTAGTGCCAAATGCCAGGTCATTCAAAAACACAAGTTCATGTCCACTTAATACACTTGTATGCGCCTTATATTGTGTGATATATTTCAGTGACTTTTAAGTTTTTCAAGAGAAATGTTGTTTGGTTAAAGCAGTGCAGACTCATTTTGTGATTTGGTGTGATCCTGTGTTTTTGTGCTAATCATGAGTGAAACTTGATCCACCATCAGTCCCAAATTGTATCTCTTGTCTTCTGGACAGCTTCCATACCAGATGAGTTTAGTGGAAAGATTTAAGTGCTCTGCTGCACTAAAAAATTATTCATGTAAAATATTTTAGTTTTTATATTTGGTTGCAAAATTTAAAAACCAGAAAAATAGAAACACTGTCAGAAATACTCAGTAATGACATCATCTACACTCGTAGATTAAATTACTTAAGAAAGTTTAAACTTACATCTGGTTAGTTCTCTCCTTGATGTCTTTCCTCAGTGTGTTCATAAAGACTGCTGTCAAAAGAAGGTTGTATGCGACACTAACACAGAGATCTTGTTTGCCAAAGATCAACATCTGAATATTAAAATATTCCAGCAGAATGATCCAGTGTATATATTGGGGATGAAACGGGGATTTTATGTAATGCCGTAGAGAACAGAAATCTAACACTGCACTGTTGACTGTCGAACAAGCAAGAGCAGGAAGAGGAAACAAAATGTAAATATATCTTTTTTCATTTATGATTGCTACAAATTGTTTTGAGAAATTGTCTTTGAGAATCGGTAGGGACTAAAACAAATACAGCAATCGGGGAAGAATGTTTAATCTAATTGATTCAATCCTAGAGAGTAGGTCCAGAAAAGGAATGGTATGCCATCATTGTATATCAGATTTTATGGATTCTTTCAGTGGGCCTGTGCTCAAATTGTGGTCATGAATATTTTGTACTTGTAAATCACCTTGATGTCTTTCCTCAGTGTGTTCATAAAGACTGCTGTCAAAAGAAGGTTGTATGCGACACTAACACAGAGATCTTGTTTGCCAAAGGTCAACATCTGAATATTAAAATATTCCACCAGAATGATCCAGTGTATATTTCGAGGATGAAATGGGGATTTTATGTAATGCTGTGGAAACAGAAATATAACACTGCACTGTTGAACATTGAATGAGCAAGAGCAGGAACAGGAAAAAAATGTAAAACTATAAATAAATCTTTCCCATTTATGGTTGCAAAATGTTCCAGGTTAACTTCATCATACAATATTCAGTGACTGTTAGAGTTTTCTGTTAATTGCTGAGACACGAGGACACAATGAAGGTAAGAAGAGTAAATATTAAACATGACTGAACTGAAAACTGAAAACAAAACAGATAAAACTAACTCTCCCTTAAAGCACAGAAACTATAGATTCAACAATGAAATATAGCAATGGTCCACAATGAAATGTAGAGACATCAAGGACAGGTCACATAAATTCCCCAATTTCATCAAATACATCAGGTTTAGAAAGTTCTCTGCTTTATGGTTTCCACAGGGTTCAGTGCTAGGACCAATTCTGTTTACATTATACATGCTTCCCTTAAGCAGTACCATTAGAAATATCCTGTCTCAAAGTGACGCTGAAACACTAATTCATGCATTTATTACTTCCAGGCTGGACTACTGTAATTCATTATTATCAGGAAGTCCTAAAAACTCCCTGAAAAGCCTTCAGTTAATCCAAAATGCTGCAGCAAGAGTACTG